GTGGTGTGAGAGAGAATATGTGTGTGTGTGTGAGAGAGAGAGAGAGAAAGAGAGAGAGAGAGAGAGAGAGAGAGAGAGAGAGAGAGAGAGAGAGAGAGGTGGAAAGTGTTGGACACTCAAACTGTTATTTCTTTTAAAACAGGCACCCAGATTTTCGAAAGAAAATATAGTAAATGAAGTGCTTGCACATTTTAAGTTTCTAGAACAATAAATAGTGATAGAAGTTGAAAGACAGGTTGAGAGTGTTCCTCAAGATGTTTCTAGAATCCCCAGCCCACCCTTGACTTCCTGCCTCTCTTTGGAAAGCCCCTAAGTTTCTCTCTAGGGTGGGGACAGATGTCACTGCCATGTATCCCTCCTTCCCCACACCCTCCTCATCACATGAAACCTTCAGGTTGTTGTGGCTTGTTTGCAGATTTCTTACCAAGAATGCTAACGATTGCTCAAACTCCTCAGGGACATCCCACTTTGCAAATCATTCCTTTTCTACAGTTCAGGTTTCTGAGTTAAATGATTTTCTCCCCAAAGGTCGGTTTCAAATGTTAATGGGGCCAGGTTGCCTTGAGATGTCTAACTTTCTTGTGATCTAAAAAATAGTTATCTTTCAAGGCAGGAGCTAAGTAGGGCACTATTGGATACATCTCAGGTGATGAATGCCAGTCTTCAGACCGCTATGGAAGACAATAGTTGCCTCCCTCTTGGATGCTACCTCATCTAAAGGAGAGGTACTGTAATCTGTTTTAAAATTCATAGGTTCACATGTGTTTGAATCCCAGAATCACCAACTGTGTAGCCTTGGGTAAATTATTTCCCTGCCCTTCCAAACTTCAATTATGCTAAATAGGTTAACAATATAAGTCACAGGATTATTGGGAACATCCTACCATTGTTATATTAAAGAATCAAAAACTTTGCTGTTATGTGGTAAATTCTTAGTGGACTGTAGAGTAATTATTAAGCCATGAAAGGAAATTAATAAAAGGATAATTTAATTCTGTTTTGAGGTGCCCAATACCAACACCAGTGAATAAAAATTAATATAATGTTGTCCTTACAATAGCAAATAACTGTAGTAAAAAATACAGAGCTGGAGAGCACATGGCAATGTGGGCAGTAATGAGAGAGCTGCTGGGAAACCATTGTGGTGATTGAATTGGTCTGTACCAGGATTACAATGGTCCTTACACATATCTGCACAGGACAAAACTGCGTAGACATATACTCTGTGCCGACACTGGTGTTCTCATTTTGATATCAAAGTGTGGTATGGAAAACATAGTCATCAGGGGAAACTGAGTGGAGGGCAGGCCAGACCCTTCTGTACTGGTGGTGCACAAACCTGTGATTCCCTCACAATAACAAATTACAAGCAAAAGGTGCCTGTCTTAGCCCCTGTTCTAGTGCTGTGAAGAGACGCCATGATCAAGGCAACACTTAATAAAAGAAAACATGTAACTGGGGGCTGGCCTACAATTTCAGAGGCTTAGTCCATTGTCATCATGGCAAGAAGCAGGGTGCTGGGGCAGTAGCTGAGAGCTACATTCTGGCCTGCAGGCCTTGAGTGGCAGAGGGAACGTGGGCCTGATATGGGTTTTTGAAACCTCAAAGCTTGGCCTCCCCACCCCCAGCGACACACTTCCTCCAACAAGGCCCCATCTCCTAATCCTTCTAATCCTTTCAGAGTTCCACTGTTTGGGGACTAAATTTATGAGCCTGTAGGGGCCATTTTCATTCAAACCATCACATTCTACTCCCTGACCCCCATAGGCTTGTAGCCATAATCAAAAAATGCTTTCAGTTCCACTTCAAAAGTCCCCAGAGTCTACCCCAGTCGCAACAGTGTTTAAACATCCAAAGTTCAAAGTCTCCTCTGAAATTCTTTGTGTTCTTTTAACTCTAACCTCCTGTAAAATCAAAATCAAAAACAGAGCACGTACTTCCAATGTGCTATGGCACAGAATATCCATTACCATTCCAAACGAGAAGAAAGGGAGCATAGTGAGGAAACACTGGACCGAAGCAAGACCAAAACCCAGCAAGGCAAACTCCAAATTCTGCATCTCCATGTCTGATGTTAAAGGCTCTTCAGGTCTCCAATTCCTTTCAGCTTTGTTGATAAACCAAAACACACTTCTCTCTCTTGGGCTGGTTCCATCCTTGGTCTACAGCTGTCATTGGCAAGTATCCCACAACTCTCCTATATCTTGGGGTCTCCAAGGCAATCCAGGTTTCACCTCCACAGCTTCACACAATGGCTTCTCTGGGCCTCATGCAGGGACACCCCTGTCACATACCTGGCCTCAGCAGCTTTTCTTAGCTGTGGAGGGAGATTCCACAGCCACTTCCTTGTGTCCTTGACTCTAAGGCCAGAACTACGTGAACCAAACTGCCACTTTCTTTTGCTCGATGAAGCTGCAACTTGGTTCCCTCCTTCAGTGACATTGGCATCAGCTTTTTGTTTTTGGTGGTTTCCTTCTCTGCCTAAGCTGTCCATTAATTCCTTTTCACAAGTTGGAATTTTAGCTGGGTGGAGTCTTGTCCCGAGGTCACCACTCCCTTTATTCCATTTAGCATCAGACTTTGCTTTAAACTTTTTTATCTCCTTGAGCACTGGACTTAGCTCCAGTACACTTCCTGGTGTTCCTTTTCTCCTCACACTGTACAATTTGTATTTCTCTCTGTCCAGTTTGCTCTCTTTCAGTATAGATCTACATAAGAGTTGTTACTAATAACCACAGGACACAGTCAGGACTAGGCTGTCTGGAAATCTCTTCAATTTAGCCTCTGGCAGATTATTTGGACAAGGGCAGAGAGTAGCCACATTCTTTGCCAAAAACTATCACAAGAATGGTCTCTGGGCCACTTACTAATATTGCTCCCTTCTGAAACCACTTGATCAGGACCATCACAATCTGTGTGGCTCCTAGCATCACTGTCTTCCATGCCTCCTACTGGGATGGCATGCTTAAAGTGTTCAGTTGCTTCTCTAATCCAAAGTCCCCATTCTACCAATAAGCAGCAAGGTCAGGCCTGTCAGCAATACCACACTCTCTGGTTTCACAGACACCCCC